GTGTGATTGTCTATTGTGAGGATAGTGAAGCTCGGTGGAGCTCCTTGTATTTTGTATCGCCAGGTTATATTCCCTGTGTGCCTTGTTGGTTGTTTTGACGCATTACTGCATAATTCTGTTTTCCGGAATAAATCCTGTTATTCTGTGATTTACCCTCCTGCGCCTGACTCCTTCAACTCACCCATCACAGTAGTACAATATAATTTCAGACATAACAAAATGTACAACTGTACCACTTAAATGCTTTCCACATCCAAAATGTAAATATTGTTTGCTTGAACACATGGAGAGCTAGAGACTGAGAATGGATGGCGTAAACTGGAAGAGATAAGCTGGTTAAGAGGAAGAGAGGGAGCTAAATGAAGGGTAAAAAGGAGTGAGTAGTAACATAAAGGGGGTGGCTTATGAGGGCACACCACTAGTAATCATCCAGCATCAAACAGAGGGGAAGGTTTATTAGGGGCGGACCTCTGGTAATCGTCCAGCGTGCAAGGGGCAGGGGAAAGACAGAGGGGAAGGTTTATGAGAGTGCACCACTGGTAGTCATCCAGCGTGCAGGGGGTGGGCTGGGTGATAATGACGTAATCATGTCCTTTCCAACAGACAGAATCTTTCCTCAGCCGCAGGAAACACTCATATATCCCAGAATGCACCCGTCACTTGGTTTGCCCGAGGTCATCAGAGGGGGCCAACCACTGAACGTAGTCCCCCTCCCCACCTACAGGGGGACACAGAGACCAGTCAGCACAGCCAGAAACATACACACGCACACACAATTACACACACACACACCGCCTGTGTCACGAGGTGTCACTTGACTGCCGCTTTAGTGACACAGTTCCCCAATACATGTAACACATTCTGGTTAGTGCTCCAATTGAAGCTGTGGCCACAGAGTTCCCAGAATGCCGTGCAAGGCGATGACTGTGCAGTAATAACTACAGCCTAGCTCTTTGGCCTGATCTTTACCTCTGTTGCTGCACTGAAGCTGGAGTCTATGTGGTCACAACTGGCAGGCAAGACAGCTGGAATAACAACAATAAAAGAATAAACACAAACACACACATGCACGCGCACACGCACACACTCACTTACAAACGCATACACACACACCCTCACATGACCCCTGTAGCTATTTTTTGTTTACACCACTGATTGGGAGAGTAGGCCTAAATGACAGCAAAAGGGAGAAGGATAGGGGGGATTGAGCCTGCAGAGGTAAAACATATGCTATTCGAACATGGTGTTAGAGACGGAGGATGTTGACTTTTATTTGGAAGTAAACGAGATCATAAAAATCATCCATTGTTACATATTGATTGGTTGGATGGTTATGCGAATGATTGGTACACTGGCTGATTGATTAATTAATTGGTTGATGGAAGCTTTCACCATCTAACCTCGTCCCCAGGCTATTGTGTACAACACATACAGTTGAAGTCGGAAGTTTACATACACCTTATCCAAATACATTTAAACTCAGTTTTTCACAATTCCTGACATTTAATCCTATTAAAAATTCCCTGTCTTAGGTCAGTTAGGATCACCACTTTATTTTAAGAATGTGAAATGTCAGACTTATAGTAGAGTGATTTATTTAAGCTTTTATGTCTTTCATCACATTCCCAGTGGGTCAGAATTAGTATTTGGTAGCATTGCCTTTAAATTGTTTAACTTGGGTCAAACGTTTTGGGTAGCCTTCCACAAGCTTCCCACAATAAGTTGGGTGGTTTTTGGCCCATTCCTCCTGACAGAGCTGGTGTAACTGAGTCAGGTTTGTAGGCCTCCTTGCTCGCACACGCTTTTTCAGTTCTGCCTACACATTTTCTATAGGATTGAGGTCAGGGCTTTGTGATGGCCACTCCAATACCTTGACTTTGTTGTCCTTAAGCCATTTTCCCACAACTTTGGAAGTATGCTTGGGGTCATTGTCCATTTGGAAGACCCATTTCCGACCTAGCTTTGACTTCCTGACTGATGTCTTGAGATGTTGCTTCAATATATCCACATACTTTTCCTTCCCCATGATGCCATCTATTTTGTGAAGTGCACCAGTCCCTCCTGCAGCAAAGCACCCCCACAGCATGATGCTGCCACCCCCTTGCGTCACGGTTGGGATGGTGTTCTTCGGCTTGCAAGTATCCCCCTTTTTCCTCCAAATATAACGATGGTCATTATGGCCAAACAGTTCTATTTTTGTTTCATCAGACCAGAGGACATTTCTCCAAAAGGTACGATCTTTGTCCCCATGTGCAGTTGCAAACCGTAGTCTGGCTTTTTTATGGTGGTTTTGGAGCAGTGGCTTCTTCCTTGCTGAGCGGCCTTTCAGGTTATGTCGATATAGGACTCGTTTTACTGTGGATATAAATACTTTTGTACCTGTTTCCTCCAGCATCTTCACAAGGTCCTTTGCTGTTGTTCTAGGATTGATTTGCACTTTTCGCACCAAAGTACGTTAATCTCTAGGAGACAGAACGGGTCTCCTTCCTGAGCGGTATGACGGCTGCGTGGTCCCATGGTGTTTATACTTGTGTGCTATTGTTTGTACAGATGAACGTGGTACCTTCAGGCGTTTGGAAATTGCTCCCAAGGATGAACCAGACTTGTGGAGGTCTACAATTTTTTTTCTGAGGTCTTGGTTGATTTCTTTTGATTTTCCCATGATGTCAAGCAAAGAGGCACTGAGTTTGAAGGTAGGCCTTGAAATACATCCACAGGGACACCTCCAATTGACTCAAATGATGTCAATTAGCCTATCAGAAGCTTCTAAAGCCATGACATCATTTTCTGGAATTTTCCAAGCTGTTTAAAGGCACAGTCAACTTAGTGTATGTAAACTTCTGACCCACTGGAATTGTGATACAGTGAATTATAAGTGAAATAATCTGTCTGTAAACAATTGTTGGAAAAATTACTTGTGTCATGCACAAAGTAGATGTCCTAACCGACTTGCCAAAACTATAGTTTGTTAACAAGAAATTTGTGGAGTGGTTGAAAAACGAGTTTTAATGACTCCAACTTAAGTGTATATAAACTTCCGACTTCAACTGTACATATTATTCATATTTAATCCAGTGATTGAAATTACGACCCCATCCTTAGTAGCCTATTCCAGCAGGCTATTGGGAAACACAAGCACTTCTTACCTTAAACGCCTAACTATTCAAATAATTAGGCTGTTATTTTGAATTAAGCAAGCAGCTAAATCGTTCAGTTTACATCTTGCCTACATTTTGCCAGGGGCTATAGGCTACCTGCATCTAAGCAAACCATGGCAAAGTTTAATTACAATCATAAACCCAGATTTTAGTCTGTAGCCTATGCCTGTTGAAATGACAAGGCAATCTTGCAAATGGGCCATTTGTAACTGTTTGTGGTCTTAACATCTGGCACATAATAATGGCACAATTGTCAGAAAATAGCCTAACATTCAGTAAAAAAAAAAAAAAGTTTGTCCAAGTGTTTCTTGCTCAGAGATTTCGAGATCCTCTGTCCAACTTTCATCACTCAAACTCTACTGTGGATATATCTATAGTTATGCACATGCGCAAAAGGGATGTATTTACAATTATAAACTGGGTCAACCCCTGAATGCTGATTAGCTGAAAGCTGTGGTATATCAGACCATATACCATGGGTATGACAAAAAAAACATTTTACGTTGGTAACCAGTTCATAATAGCAATAAGGCACCCTGGGGGTTTGTGGTAAATGGCAAATATACCACTGCTAATGTCTGTATCCAGGCACTCTGCATTGTGTCCTGCATAAGAACAGCCCTTAGCCATGGTATATGGCCAATATACCATACCCCCTCGTGCATTATTGCTTAATCATAGCAGTCAAACGAGTTAAATCAACATCCATTAATGGAAAATGATCTGGGGAGTTTAATAAGGGCAAATTATATTTTCTCATGTGACATTCAAATTAATTAATGTAGTCCCCTGTAGCTCAGTTGGTAGAGCATGGCGCTTGCAACGCCAGGGTAGTGGATTCGTTTCCCACGGGGGGCCAGTATGAAAATGTATGCACTCACTAACTAACTGTAAGTCGCTCTGGATAAGAGCATCTACTAAAATGTAAATGTCATAGTTTGCAATAATTATTATTTTGATGAAAACCAAATTTTACTTCTAATGTAGTTACAAGTTATCTCGATATTCCTTCTTAATTGGCTCAGTAACGTTATGGAAAAATTGTGTATTGTAATTTATAAATGTGGCAAGTTCTCTCTTGCTGTGAAAAAAAAGTGTGCTAGTTTTCAGACCTTTTGCGTGGGTTTTGAGTAGTCATTGGTTTAGAAGTTTTAGCTCGAGCTGGCAACCCATCCTGACAAATGAAGATGCGACAACTGTATCGGAAGCTGTGCAATGCATCATACAGAATTTGAATTTTCTAAATTATGCTAACAGTTGAGTAGCACACTAGTTATTGCAATGTGTTTCGTCTAGGGAACACCCGATAAGATTTGTCGGGTACGAAGGGCAGTTTACTACAATGTAGCTAGAGGACGTAGCAGTAATGTCGATACATTGAGGTGAGTTTTACTCGTTATTTTGCTAGCTACAGTACTAGCTAAGTTAGTTAGCAAAGTTGTCCAGGTAGCTATACTAGCTAGCTATGTAGCATTTTTTATGTTGCACGGAAGCGACCAACGAGTTATTGTCTCACAAGGTTATCGAGCTAGCAAGTCAGCTCTCTGCTGGTAACTACTAAAATGTTAGCTAAGTTATGTAGCTAGCTTGTTTAGCTAATGTTCGCTGGCTACAGACAGTGCGCTGCACAATACAAGTTGTCCCAGAGAGAGGCCAGTCAGCTAGCTAGCTATTTAGACAAGGCCAGTTGACAGCTTGAAGACAAGCAGCTTTTAGCCAACTTATCAGCAATCTACGTGTTTGTTGACCCAAAATGATGTGAGTGGCCGTGTGCCATACATGGAAGATGCTATATATGAAACTAATAGCTAACGCTAACATCCATTCTTGCGTTTGTTTCAGATTTTGTCTATTAAATATGACCTCGTTACCGTCACCCCAGTACCCAGCATCAAGCTCAGCATGTAGGATATTACCTGGGGATGGGGGTCAGGTGAGTTTCTTCACATCACCATAAGCCAAAGGCATGTGGACCTAAGGCACAATAACCACAACCTTAGTTAGGAGAAGGTATCTTTATTTCTGCTACAGCTAATGCAGGTCATGTCTCTGTTTGTGGCAGGTGCAGTCCCAAAGCCCCTCTCCTGCAGATTCTGCGTGTGGCCGGAGCCCAGGAGGACATCTTCACCCTCAAGGAGGTAAGCTGACACTGTTGACATGGTAACAGCCCAATCAGATAGATGTAGACATATTGCGCTTATCAATACTTAATAAAGAGCTATATAGCAAACTATATATTTAATGTGTGTGTCAGGTGATGCACTACCTTGGCCAGTACATCATGGGGAAGCAACTGTATGATAAACAGAGACAGTACATAGTGCACTGTCAGGACGACCCACTGGGAGAACTGCTGGAGGTCGAGAGCTTCTCAGTCAAAAACCCCAGGTGAGCACACACACAAACGCTCTGTACACATTACGCTTACGCTGTACACTTAACACTTCAGCTGGAGTCTACCATCACACATTCACATTTTAATCAAAATTGTCCTCTGGTTTGCAGTCCAGTCTACGAGATGCTGAAGAAGTATTTAGTTGTGCAGAATTGTGCGGGTAAGTGATGCCTCCGGTGCTACTTGGGAGATGTCCCTTGGAAAATACATTTTATTGCATTGAATGAACCTGGCTCAACTAGGTGGAAAATATTAGGCTATGCTAATGCAATGCTGCTTTGTCTGTATGCAGCCAAAAGTTCTGGATTGAGTGTGGGGAGGACTGTAATGATTGTTGACATGACAACCATTTACATCTTTCTCTTCTATTTTTCCTCTGGTGCACAGTCAAAACAGATAATTTTACATTCTTTGATAGGTTTTGATTCATTTGGGCCTTTATGAATGTTGAAGCTGTAAAAATTAGTGTTTTGGTACCAACCAGATAAGAATCTGTCTCTATTTTATTAAGTCTTTCTTTCTTTGATCTACTCCATAAATTCTGGTTGGAGGTAAAAGGTGTGCATGTGTAAACCTGGATCTCTTGACGTGTGTGTGGAGGTGTTTAACTCCTCATTTGCCCTGCAGAATTATTTGAAGAATCTAGAGCTACAGTGTACATATTGTGTTGAATGGTTTGTCAGCGTTGTGTCAGCCTTTGTGTGTGTTGAGTGTGGTAATTAATGGGCAGGGTGTGTTACTGTATCTCATTCTGAAACACAGACGCTGCAGAGGGTCTTTCTGTGGGCCTTGAGTGTGTAGAGGGCGGAGTGGAGGACCGCGGTCAGGTAAAGCTGAAGCATGGTGCTCCGGAGAAACAGGGATGCTCAAGCTCACCACACACAACCCCTCAGGGTAGCTCAATCAGTCTACTCACAGAGCCCAATGAATCACTGCAGATCTTCAGCTCAGTTTTATCAAAAGTTCAGTCTAAATTTAATGAGCCATGCACTCAGCTTCACTGTTTTGAGATATCAATTGATCTGGCCAACTGATTTTGTAGTCATTAACCATGCTATCAAAGTTGGAATCCAACCAACTGGTTTTGAAATTATTAAATGAGTAACTGCATTGGGAATGTAGAGCAGTTGTGTGTTGGGAGGGGAGGGCCGCTGTCTCCGCTGGTGTTTATGTGTACAGAGTGGCACCGTCTCTGTACATCCCCATCTCTGGCCTGGCCTGGTGGAGCTCCAACACACCACACTGCCGGACCCACCAGCACCACTCAGAGCATGGGGGGCAGAGTCACTGTCTCTGTCTGTCTCAGTTCTCTTCTCTGCCCTGAACCTGCTGGAGGAACACAGCTCCTGATCCGGTCACGGGCCTCACACCCACTCCCCCATCTACCCCTTCCCCTCTCTACCCACCCCACACCTGCCCCTTCCCACACCTACCCCTTCATGCAAAATCTGCCCCCCCTCTCTTCTGCCCAAACTGCAAACCCCACTTCCCTGACTCCCCAACACCCGAACTGCCCTTCTCCCCTTACATCAACACCCCAATTGTCCCTTACCCCCACACCCTGACTGCCCCTCTCCCACACTGTAAATGTTCTCTCCTTCCTCCATGTTGAACCCACCTTGTTTTCACTCAACATTAGTCACCATTAGGCCAATAGTGGATATTGGGAGTTTATAGTGAGATGTGACTAGAGAGAATAATAAATGTTGATCATATGGATACTGATCATTAGGTTTGTAATTATCTGACTGCATCTTTTGTTGAGAAAGGGCATGCAGAAATCACTGACTGATATTATACATTAAAAATATCAATTCCCTCAGTCTTTCTTTCTATTTGTCAATTGCAATAAACAATGTGGAAGGATTGGCTCCTCTTCAACAAGAAATGCATGCAGACCAATTAAAGGTGTAGTCACTTGTCATTTAATCACTGCATCATGTTGAATAGTATTCCAGCTTGTATGTGATCATGGATTCAGATTCAGAAGAGTGAATGCTGCGTCTGTGGTGTGGTCTGTCCATACTTATGCTTGTCCGGTTCATACACAGACAACGTTATAATTCCAGAATCATTTAGACAGTTAGTTGTCACTCTATTATGTCTCCTTTCATTTTCACCCTTTCTCTGAATGTGTGTGGCTCTGTTGTCCTGTCTCTCTCTCTCTCTGTCTGTCTGTATGTGGCTGTCCACTGCTCCAGCCCCTACTCTCCCAGTACCCATGGCCCTGCTCCACTGTCCTTCCCTTCACCCACCCACTCCAATCTGCCCCCACCCTCACCCTGACCACCAGGCCGTGCTGTGAGGGAGCTGTGGTTCCACCAAGTGCCCAGTTTTTGTTCTGTTATCTGATTGGCTCTCGTCCTCCCCTCCTACTTGTGTAGGTGTGTGGGGGTCTGGCCAAGGCAGGCCTGGGAGTGGCCAGTGACGGGGCCTTCCCCCTGCAGACCCTGTCTCAGAGACGACCCCGGGAGCCAGACGAAGGTACACACATGGCTACAACTGATATGTTATTTAGTCCTAACCCCCTTTGGCACCTCCATCAGACACTTTAGATGGCTTGCCCCGGTCAGCCTGCAAACGGCCCAAGCTCGACGTCACCCTGGACGAGTGGGACCTCTCGGGGCTGCCCTGGTGGTTTCTGGGTAATCTGCGTAACAACTAAAGTCGCAGGAGCAACGGCTCTACAGACATCCACACTAATCAAGTAAGAACACAGAGTTAATGCCGTTTACTCTAGTCAGTTTATTTTCTTGTCGAGAGGCTAAAGTCAGGTAGCATAGTCGCACAGTGATGAGGTCAAATCAAATTTTATTTGCCAAATGTACCGAATACAACAGGTGTAGACATTACAGTGAAATGCTGATTTACAAGCCCTTAACCAACAATGTAGTTAAAAAAAAAAGAAAAAGTGTTAAGTAAAAAAAAAAAAAAAGCAAATAACTAAAGAGCAGCAGTAAAATAACAGTAGGGAGGTTATATACAGGGGGTACCGGTACAGAGTCAATGTGCGGGGGCACCGGCTAGTAATTGAGGTAATATGTACATGTGGATAGAGTTAAAGTGACTATGCATAAATAATAAACTGAGTAGCCCCCTTGTATATAGTCCGGGTAGCCATGATTAGCTGATCAGGAGTCTTATGGCTTGGGGGTAGAAGCTGTTGAGAAGCCTTTTGGACCTAGCAGAAACATTATGTACAGAATAAATTACAAATAACGCGAAAAAACACAGATAATAGTACAGTTGGTTAGAGGGCTGTAAAACGGCAGCCATCTTCTCCGGCGCCACTTGATGTATTATCCTGACTGAGGGATCAGCTGAAGCTCGCATCCGTTACAAGACCATGGTGCTTGCCTTTGGAGCAGCGAGGGGAACGGCACCTCTGTACCTTCGGGCTCTGATCAGTCCCTACACCCAAACGAGGGCATTGCGTTCATCCACCTCTGGCCTGCTGGCTCCCCTTCCTCTGCGGAAGCATAGTTCCCGCTCAGCCCAGTCAAAACTGTTCGCTGCTCTGGCACCCCAATGGTGGAACAAGCTCCCTCACGACGCCAGGACAGCGGAGTCACTCACCACCTTCCGGAGACATTTGAAACCCCACCTCTTTACGGAATACCTGGGATAGGATAAAGTAATCCTTCTACCCCCCCACACACACAGCGGAGTCACTCACCACCTTCCGGAGACATTTGAAACCCCACCTCTTTAAGGAATACCTGGGATAGGATAAAGTCATCCTTCTACCCCCCCCCCCCCCCCCAAAAATTGTAAAGTGGTTATCCCACTGGCTATAGGGTGAATGCATCAATTTGTGAGTCGCTCTGGACAAGAGCGTCTGCTAAATGACGTAAATGTGCCCTTGAGCAAGGCACTTAACCCTAATTGCTCCTGTAAGTCGCTCTGGATAAGAGCGTCTGCTAAATGACTAAAATGTAAATGTCCTGCGCAGGATGAGGACACAGCCATCGTGTCGGACACAACGGATGACCTATGGTTCCTGACAGAGGGAGGGAGTGAACAGGTGAGCGTGGAAATAGAGGCTGTGCTGGACGAAGGGATCGGAGGAGAGGGAGAACCACCCGAAGAGGAGGAGGGAGGAAAAGAGAAGGCCGATAAGGAGGTAGGACTGTGCTCTCCTGTAGTCCCTATGTTGAGTGGTAAATTAATGATAATGATCTTTTCTCTTTATAGCTATAGAGTAGAATTTCAGACTATGACTGATGAGTGTCTTTCTGTCTCATCTCCTCAGATGCAGGAGGAGCCAGATGAGGACTCGCAGTGTCTAAGTGACGATACGGATATAGAGATCTCTACACAGGTCTGTCTCTCCATCTTTTGTCTGTCTCTCTTTTCTCTCCTTTGTCTCTCTCTGTCTCTGCCTCTCTCTCTGCATCTCTCTCTTTCTGCCTCTCCCTGTCTCTGCCTCTCTGACTGTCTGTCTCTCTCTGTCTTACATGACACTGATAGTTCCTGATATCTACCTCTTGTCTCTAACACATTCTCTAACCCTCCTCAGGATGCATGGCAGTGTACAGAGTGCAGGAAGTACAACTCTCCTCTCCAGCGCTACTGCGTACGCTGCTGGGCTCTACGCAAGAACTGGTACAAAGACGTCCCGCAGTTGGTCCACTCACTCTCCGTCCCCGACATCCCAGCATGCAGTTCTCTAGCCCTGCACGACGATGAGGAGGACACCGACACGGGCATCGATGTCCCAGACTGCCTCAGGACCGTGTCCGACCCCGTCATCCTGCCCTCCCACTCCACCCCCGACTGCCCGCTGCCCCCCGGGGCTCCAGGGAAGGGCAAGGGTCCCAGGCCGCGCGGCCTGCCCAGGAAGGAACGACTCTCTGGGGGAGAGAGTCAGGAAAGCTTGGGGATGGAGGTGGAGGTTAGGCCCGAGGCTCTGTTGGAGCCCTGTAAGCTGTGTCGGATGCGTCCACGTAACGGGAGTATTATACACGGCCGCACGGCTCACCTGCTAACCTGCTTCTCCTGCGCCAAGAGGCTGCACAAGTTCCACGCTCCCTGTCCTGGCTGTGGACAGATCATACAGAAGGTTATAAAGACATTCGTAGCATGAGAGGATTAGAACATAGATGTAACGTACAAGGTTATTTACACCTGGAGAAAGACATGTACACACCACACTAGCACACGTTTAGTTGGTGTTAATACATGCATACTGTATACACACACACACACACACACACACACACACACACACACACAGTCAGTTCCACACAGCCGCGTGCCTCAACCCACTCATACACCCCCAGAGAGACACAGTGTAGCACCTAGTAGAGCATGTTCCTCTTTGCTGTCTGTTGTATTGTGTTTGCATCACACTGCCTCTGAGCTATGGAGCTAGTAATGGAAGGTCCAAACCCAGCAACTTATTCCTTGAAGTATCAAACCATATAGTTTTCTCTGTGCCACATTTCACGAGTTATTTGCTACTAAATGTAAGATCCTATGTATTTATTTATTTGAGGGCCAAGCAGCACTGTACATATGAAAACGCCGCTGTCATTGAAGTTCATTTCGAAAGACAGCGATTTGTGCGACTCAAGTCTTTGTTTCCGACAGAAGACCAGTGGACACTTGTTTCCTATTGGCCACTGTTGTAAGTGTCCAGGAAATGCTCTCTGCCAGTTGTCAGGCCGCTGACATGTTTGCTGCCATACGCCATGTTGTATTCCTTAAAGAGCTGCATTCTCTCTCACTAGGTTGTGATGGTAAGCTAGCTACACGTTGGCTGACTACAGCTCCTCAAGTCAGCGCAGGTATGGCATTTTCACTGCCGTGTGTTCATGGAGCCTCAGAGCCTCTATGCTATGGTGGTCCTTCTGTTAGTTATTCCTTTGTTTTCCTTCTATCCTTTATCTGCAGTGTTCTGTCTGTGCTCTTTCTGCTGAGAGTGCTTGTAGAGTTTTGTTTAAGGATAGCGTTTCACTGCCAAACGTAATTAATGTAATGTTTTTGCTTGTATGTTATGTACAGGTTTTTTTGGGTTTTTCTTTTTGTTATGGACATGCTGTCTCTGCAGTGTTCTGTCTGCTCTTGAAAAGCTAAGACAAGGGGATCTAAAGGAGATGTTTGATATGTGCTTAACATTTTTTCTGCATTATTGATCATGTTTTGGTTGCGAGGCCTATTTTTAAGACAAGTCAATAAGAAACGTCTCCTTTTAATCTCCTTGTCAGTGTTTTTCAATAATATACGTACCCCCAGGGGAGAAGTCTTTACCCTGCAGCGCTGATCTCAATACTTTGTGTTATTACTGTCCTTGTACTCACAATGCAAGTCAATGTACTGGACAGAACTTTTGCCTCTCTGTTCAAAGGCTAGTTGGTAAAAAGTAGTTGATATTAACGATAATAACCAGTCTGAAATATAGCTCAAGAGGTATGTCTAGAGCCCACAATGTGGAGTTTGGGCAAATTAACCCTTTTCAATAAGGAATACCTTGGTACACAGGCTATCATATTTCCTTTCCAGATGAGTAATTAATCTTAAAATAAATATTCACTATCGCCAATCTGCTTAAATTCTAGTTCTGCTCGCTTTAACTTCTCCCATTTTTAGTGCAGTGATTTTGAACTTATCTTTTTTGATTTTTAGTTTATTTTGTCTGTGGAGGAAACAAATGGCAGCTTCTCTAGACCAATGATTAATTATGTTTGTGTTTTAAGAGGTGTTCTGTTGTTGTGCTTGATACCAGGAGTATTTGTCATCTTTTAATTCCTCAAATGATTTTGTTTTATTTATGATTTTTGTTTAACCTCTTAAGATATCCTACATTAAATCAGATGAACAGAAGTGATGGAGGTGTACATCACTCCACAGAATACAAGGCTGATTATCTAAGCCTTTTCACCTGTGCAAAGTTTGCCCCTTGATATTTTGAAGAATTAAAACATTGAAGGGTCAATCGCAGTTGAATCAATTGCAAAGCGTACTCCCCGCCACTGTTTCTGTAAAAAGCTGAGGGATGGGGCTGGAGAAATGTAACCAGCTATGGATACAAGGACTGACCATCCATGATATCAAAATGATAGTTTTAGCCATGTTTTGAGGCTATACAGTGTTTACATTTACTTTGTTTACAAACATTGGAGTACGTTTATTATTTTGGGTTATGATTTTTTTTTAAAGCTCAAGGCATTTATAAATTATATTTTTCAAGAATCAATGGGTACATATTCATTTATGAATCACAAAATGGATGTATCAACTGCAGATTGTCTCTTTTAAAGGTAGCAGTGAAGGCCAAATATAAAATGACAAGATCTTAAGGGGTAAATAAATGAGAACTAAGCTAAATTGATGAAGGCAAAGGTGTTTTTAGCTTCGTCTTCTATTTCCAAGTGCAAACTTTGCACAGGGGAAATGCACAGTAATACTCTGGCTTTGCTCCTGGAGGCCAAATGTGTTTTCTATATCATTCTACTGTAAATAGAGGTGTTGGAGTGCTTTCCCCATGAAGGTACACATGAGTCTGCTGAGAGTGCTTGTAGAGTTTTGTTTAAGGAAAGTGTTTCACTGCCAAACGTAATTAATTTAATGTTTTTGCTTGTATGTTATGGACATGATTTTTGGTTTCAATTGATATTGGTTCTGCAATTATTTGCTTGAAGGTGATGTATTGTTCCTCTGTGTGTACAATGCTGTTGTGTTTTGCCTTTGTGAGGGTACTCTTTCTGACCTAGCTGGTAATTGTCCAACAGGGGAGGGCAGGCTGCAGGTATGTGACCTGGTCTCTGCCTTCTCTCTACTGCTTATAACACACTGTCAGACCTACTCTGAAACGCACTGGCCCTCTTTTTTAAACACTCACTTGTAAATTGTACAGAGAGCTCTTTATTTCTGGTCCTAAGGGGCTGGCTATAGCTGTAGCTCAGCCGTGCTCTGCCTGGCTGTGAAGGGAATGGCCTTACCTTCCAGCACTGTTCAGCTCTTTACTTGTACGTATCCCCTCTGCCACCAGGTGGTGCTAGGTAGCAGTGGTCCTCAGTACTTCAAGTGCTCGCCCATTGTAGCAGGATAGTATATGTTATAATCTACCTTGGGCATGGCTCATAGTGTGAGGCTAAACTCAGCACTGTGCTGGTGTGAGAGAATTATACTATCAGTGTGTATTAGGTCTGCTATATTGTAAAGGAACCCTGCTTTACTCCCTTTGTATTTCCTTACTCTCTCACCTGACTATGCCACAGAGCTCTAACCACACTACTTCCTAACATGGAGGCACATCAGAATGTCATTGTGGGTGTTGAATACTGAAAAAGATCTCCCATTCTGAGAGATATGTGATGAGAATGAATGAAACAAAACATTCCAGAAGAACATGGTACGCCCAGTATGGAGCATTGCTTTGAATTGGGATGTCAGTTCTGCTCATTCTAATTCTATGGCTGTAGTGCTGTATTATGGTGTGCTACTATGGCTTTTAAATAAAGTAACAAAAAGAGGTACAACTAATTGTGAAGGCCTACTACTCTTATTTTGTCATGTCTGTCATGACAGTTTGCTGGTAATAGTACAGGATCTATATCACATTGTCATTGGATGAATCTCTCATACACTTGCATACACACACAAAGAGCCTGTTGGTGTAGTGTAGAGTGCACAGAACCTGGAGAATAAGTCATTGTATGACAGTCCGGCTGTCCTGTACCCTCTCCTTCCCGACAGGGCTGGCCCTGCCACATGCCTCTCTCTTGACATCTTTCTTTAGTTACTTCTCAGACACCCCACGTTTCCTCACAAATTGCCATTATGAAGTGTTTAATGCAAGTGTGTGTGTGTGTGGGTGTGTGTCCTGAGTCCCAAACGATATCCCCATCAAGTGGCATAGGCACTATCATAGGGAGGTTTTCTGATGGAAAGTCCTCTTTGTGTCACGTCTGTCCTGTGGGGAGACTCCCCTATACTGAGGGTCCCAGGTGGGTAGGCTATTCCAAAACAAAAACATGGGCTAGCGATCAAAAACACTGGACTCGCTAGCTAGATTAATCAGTAATAGTAATTTGGTTTATTGCACAAATGTGATTTTTTTTGCGAGTTTATCAAAGTGTGGAATCACTGAAACATCAATACATAATCTATACTTTACATGCCTCTAAAACAGTGAGTTGAGGTTAAAGAAATTGTGCTTTCAAAATGTGTGCTTTCATTTTTATAACCTTTACTTTAGACAAATTCAAGATGTCAATATTCTTGTAATGTTTTTTGTATGAAAAATCTTAAATTACACTTTGCGAATCTCAGCAAGTCATGTGAGTGCTGGTTTGTGCATGGCATTGAATCTGGCCAGGTTTGGTACAAGAGAATGACATGGCAGCACAGCGACATGGCACCAATGACAGATCCAGAATGGCGTAGGCCGGGTGTGGAAGGGGATCTACGTGTTGCTATGACTACAGTGTGACCATCCCAACATCCCAGAATAACCAAGCCACATTCCCAAATATGAGCCACACACTGGGTCACCGCTGCAACACTTCCTGAAGTAGATAGGAAGTCCCCAGCCCGACTGAAAATAAGCCCTCCATCTAGCCACTAACCCCAATCTGAAGGGACCAGACAGGTGTGGGAGGTATAGAGGACACTCAATCTAGGGCTAAATTCAATCCGTAGCGTTGAAGATACGCTTTGGTAAACACTGCATATGTCGGCTCAATTGGAAATTACCTTATTTTCTCCGTACGGATTGAATCGAGCCCTAGAGGTAGGACAGACCAGGCAACCCAGTTGAGGTTGGTTGGAAGTTTAGGGAAGGAAGGTTACAGTCGGGTTAAATTGGGAATTCGGAGATGGGGTTTTTTTTTGTTTCGGGGAGGGGTTCTATCCACACCCGGCTCAACCCTAGCTTCATGTCCTCACCCGGGCTCAAACCTAACCATAGCTTCATGTCTACAACCCAGCTTAACCCTAACCCTAGCTAGCCATAACCCTAACCCTAGCTTCATGTCCACACCAGCTGGCTAAACCCTAATCCTAGCCATAACCCTAATGTTAGCTTCATGTCCACACCCGGGCTCAAACCAAACCCTAGCTATAACCCTAACCCTAGCTTCATATCCACTACCCGGCTCAACCCTAACCCTAACCCTAGCTTCATATCCACTACCCGGCTCAACCCTAACCCTAACTCTAGCCTCTTCTCCTTTTCTTCAACTCCACTGATCTGAAAACAGGGTAGGATAAAGCAATATGGTGATTTGATTGGGAGTTATTTCATAACAATTCAGATTTAGCAAAGGAGATAAGGATAGGAAGCCAGTATGGAGACTGGTATCTGTGTCACTCTCCCCTGTCCCCTGTCCCCTGTCCCCTGTCTGCATTCCTCTGGACCAGCTGACCCAGCCTGTTTACTTCCTGCTCGGCTGTTTGTGTCTCTGTGCCTGTAACTGGATCTGTAGAACCGGGAGTGCTCTGCTCTCTCACCTCCTTTCTCACAAACACACAGACATACATGAACATACACACACACTCACATCTCCTTTCTCTCTGTTGTTTCCGGCTATTTGGTCATTCCAGAAACCAGGCCACTAAATCTCCCAGTGCTGACATGGGAGAAGGTCACTGGAGCCTGAGATAAACAGAGAGAGGGAGGAGAGGGAGGAGAGGAAGAGAGAGAGAGATGGAAGGGGTAAAAAGAGAGAGAGAGAGATGGAAGGGGAATACATGAAAAGGGAGAGATAGGGAAGGAGAGATGGAGTGAGAGAGTGACAGGGAGAGAGAAAGCTTGGGTCCTTACTCTCCCTGTAACAACTGGGTCTGGGAGGGGGGTCAGCTTTCCTCCCTGTCCCACCAGGAATCCGGATTTGGAAGTGGAGCACACAGTTTCCACATAACAATCTACCACAACCTCGCAAAATCACTCCACATGGGTATACAGTTAACATACAAACATGCTGGAAACATTGACATAATTAATTGTCTTTTTTTCATTGGTCGTTAAACATATTATGGTTCACAATAGTCTACCTTATAGGAGATAAACTCAGTAGCATTCACACTATGATAACTTCATTTGTAAAGCAGTTCAGTTATTACACTGAAATGGCTTTTATGAGGTGTCAGGTACCCTCTCCAAGGCCCTCTGCCAGATCATCTTTCAGAATGGTACTAGGACCTGGTTGGTGAGTGGGTTATGTTTGTAGAAAACCTTTCGGCTTGTTTGTTTGTGAGGGGGGTATGTATCCTATCCTGTGTATTTGTTACAGTGGGGGAGTATGTGTTGTGTGTTTGTGACACTAAATAAAGTGAGGGCTATGTACAGTGTTTGACTTGGGCAGGAGCTCACTGGAGCTGAGTACTGGCACCTCAAATGTTCTACTGCTTGAGCTCCTGTTCCTCTTATAGAATATTAGCTCAAAGTATTGTGGAGCTCCTGCACCTAAATGTGAACAGAACCGGCACCCAAAATAAGTACAGGAACCTATTACAGTTCAAGTCAAGCACTGGCTATGTTGTGTGTGCAGTGATTGAGGTTTGTTTTCCAG